TTAGTAGAGACAGGGTTTCACCATGTTGACCAGGATGGTCTCGATCTCTTGACCTCGTGATCCACCCGCCTCGGCCTCCCAAAGTGCTGGGATTACAGGCTTGAGCCACCACGCCCGGCCTAATTTTTGTGTTTTTAATAGGGACAGGATTTCGCCATGTTGGCCAGGATGGTCTCGATCTCTTGACCTTGTGATTCACCTGTGTCAGACTCCCAGAGTGTTGGGATTATAGGCAGGACCCACTGTGCTTTACCTGCTGCATTATTTTAATTTTTTGGCCACTTTGCTCTTACAGCCAAATGATTTCTTGGTTCTCTGTGAGTATTCATAACAAAGAAATGTGCATATTGTCTGTTTCAGGGGGTGGTTAGATACATTCTCAAACAAGATGTCCCATCTTCTTTAGAAGATGCTTTAAAGGTGGCCCAAGCGTTTATGTTGCCTGATGATGAGATCTACAGTCTAAGAATTATTGACCTGATTGATAGAGAACAGGTTTGTAAGTTTTATGTTGTCATTTCATATGGCTTCTTTGTTTGTTTGTTTGTTTGTTTGAGACAGGGTCCCACTTCATTTCCCAGACTGGAGTGCAGTAGCCGGGTTTCACCATGTTGGCCAGGCTAGTCTAAAACTCCCGACCTCAAGTAATCTGCCTGCCTCAGCCTCCCAAAGTGCTGGGATTACCGGTGTAAGCTGCTGTGCCCAGCCTATTGTGTTTTTAAGTGTCATTATTATTTTTTTTTTTTTGGGACGGAGTTTCGCTCTTGTTACCCAGGCTGGAGTGCAATGGCGCGATCTCGGCTCACCGCAACCTCCGCCTCCTGGGTTCAGGCAATTCTCCTGCCTCAGCTTCCTGAGTAGCTGAGATTACAGGCACGCGCCACCATGCCCGGCTAATGTTTTGTATTTTTAGTAGAGACGGGGTTTCACCATGTTGACCAGGATGGTCTCGATCTCTTGACCTCGTCGTGATCCACCCGCCTCAGCCTCCCAAAGTGCTGGGATTATAGGCTTGAGCCACCGCGCCTGGCCCGAGTGTCATTATTTTTATATAATTCTATAATCATAGTAATGCCTAGGAATTAAATCTTCAGTACTTAGGATCATATTTTATATTTTAAATTTATTTGATTGTTTGCTGTCATTAAAAATGGATTTTCAGCGGCAGGATGGTTAGCTGATGCATGCAGGGCTTAAAACGTGGTTGACAGGTTAATGGGTGCAGCAAACCATGGCACATGTAACAAGCCTGCACGTTCTGCACATGTATCCCAGAACTTAAAATTAAATAACAATGGATTTTCATATTATTAAACATTGAACCATACTCTATTTTTCCAAATGATGTATTTTCATCTTTAAGTAGAAAGGAAAGAAGGAAGTCCACATTGTCCTTTGCAAAGACCAGCTGTTTTTTCTTTCTTTCAAACCCTTTTTATAGGGTGAAGACTGTCTCCTTCTGTTGAAGTCTTTGCCTCCTGCTGAAGCTGAGAAAACTGCGGAAAGAGTCATCATATGGGCACAATTGGCGTTACAAGAAGAGCCAGATCATTCTAAAGAGGTGGGATTTTCATTAAGTAAAATATAAGTAAATCCAGTTTTTATGACTATTAATAGGATAGAGGCCAGGCGCGGTGGCTCACGCCTGTAATCCCAGCACTTTGGGAGGCTGAGGCAGGTGGATCACGAGGTCAAGAGATTGAGACCATCCTGGTCAACATGGTGAAACCCCGTCTCTACTAAAAATACAAAACATTAGCTGGGCATGGTGGCGCGTGCCTGTAATCCCAGCTACTCAGGAGGCTGAGGCAGGAGAATTGCCTGAACCCAGGAGGCAGAGGTTGCGGTGAGCCGAGATTGCGCCATTGCACTCCAGCCTGGGTAACAAGAGCGAAACTCCGTCTCAAAAAAAAAAAAAGGATAGAAAAGATGGAGTTACACATGGGAAGATCTTCCTTTCTCACTGCAAGGGTGGCCTTGTATTAAAATTCCTGGGTAAATTTACTACTAGGAAATAAAAAACAATTGTGGCTGCCTTGGAATGGCTCCTTGAGCCCACACAGAATGACCTGGGAGCTGCAGGTTGGAGGGTGTCTTAAAGTAGCTGTTGTACATGAAAGGTTTCTATAATGCCTTGCAATATAAACAATATTTTTTGTTATATAGGACATAATTGTTATCAAATCGTAATATCAGCTAAAGAACCAATATAAAGCTGTGTAATCTTAGAACATTGAAACTTAGAAATGGTTTTAAGAGAGTTTACGTCTTTGCAGATAGGGAACCAAATACTTGATTTTTCCAGGATAGTTGAATTTTTACTGATTTTTGATTTTTCTCCTTTTTATATATAGGAGATGAGATGTTGATATGTTGCCCAGACTGGTCTCGAACTCCTGAGTTTAAGTTCTCTCCTAGTCTTAGCCTCCCAAGAGCTGGGATTACAGGCATGCACCCACCATGCCCAGTAGTTAGGTTTTCTTTTTTTTTCTTTTATGAGACGGAGTCTTGCTCTGTCGCTCAGGCTAGAGTGCAGTGGCTCGATCTTGGCTCACTGCAACCGATGCCTTCTGGGTTGAAGCAATTATCCTGCCTCACAGGCGTGCACCACCACACCTGGCAAATTTATGTATTTTTAGTAGAGATGGGGGTTTTACCATGTTGGGCAGGCTGGTCTCAAACTCCTGACCTCGAGTGATTCCCCCTCCTTGGCCTTCCAAAATGCTGGGATTACAGGCGTGAGCCACCATACCTGGCCAATCATTGGATTTTTAAACCCCTAAGGATAGATGCTTCCCAACTTCACTCAGTCTATTTCAATAATGTTTTTTCCTTTTGGAAAATGTTGTTTTTAAACACCTAATATTTACTATGCAATAGGTGTTAGGTTAAATACTTTATCTACTTCATGTTCATAACAAAGCTGTAAAGTAGTTCCTACTGTTGTCTCCTTATATACTAAGTTCAAAAACTAAAATATTAAGGTAAATGCCGTCTTCCCAAGGTTGTTAGAAAGGAGCAGAACCTCAGCTCAAACTGTCTAATGCTGTAGTCTGTATTCTTAACTACCAGCTTGAACTGCTCCCGTTATGAAAATATTTGAATATTTTTTATTGCCAAGGCTCTTACTAAGCATTTTACATACATCATGTCTTTTAATTAAAGCATCTCCTTTTTTTCCTTGTCTTAAAAAAAACTTTTTTTTTTTTTTTTTTTTTTTTTTCACTGAAAGGTAGTGATTCTTTTTTTTTTTTTTGTTCTCTAGGCCATTTTTTAGACTTTTGTTCTGTTTAACTGTTTCCAAATGTTTTTTCAGATAGTAAATAACTCTAAAAGGGAATAAGGATCTGTTAATCATAGCGTAGCTGAAAAGTTATTTGGGAGAGTTGCATATTCTTTGGTATTTATAAATCATATATCAGGAGTTTATACCGGAGTTTTTCATGTCTACCCCATCTGACGCTCATTAACGATTCTTTTCTCTGATTGTCTTTTCTGCTGCTGTGGTTTTTATGTATTTGTATGTGATCTACTGAAGTGACCAGAAAAGAAAGTAGATTTTCTTTTATTTACTTATTTTTAGGACAAGGCCTGGAGAATGTCTGTAGCGAAGACATCTGTGGACATTCTTAAGATACTGTGTGACATTCAGAAAGGTATCTTTTACCTCTGTTTTCTCATTTCAGTTTTGTTCCAGAGCTCATCCTCTTCAGGAGGCATAAATGACAACTGTCACCCCATTCACAGTTTTTCTGGCTCTGATTGTCTTTATTGATCTTACCTATTTTGCTTCATAAATAGAGTCTTTCTTCATAAAGACTTCATAAAGTCTTTCTTCATAAAAAAAAGTCTTTCTTCCTTTATTTCTTTATCAGCAATGTAAGAACAGACGCATGCAAAATCAACCTATCGTTTGTTTATAAGCTTCAGTTACTATTTAGTGCTAGACTAGATTTCCTTGGTGTCTGGCACTCCTTGCTCATTTTTCTCATTTATCACTTGGTTATGTTCGGAGGGAAAGCCATTTGAACTAAAAGCTAAATAAAACAGTTAAGAAAATAACTTTCCAGGGGAAAAAAAGGAAGCTACAATTTATTTCAGAAAAATGACTTTTTCTTGCGACCCATAAACTTCTGTTTTCTACCTCCTGAAAGAATAATTAGCTGGGCACGGTGGCTCACGCCTGTAATCCCAGCACTTTGGGAGGCCGAGGCGGGTGGATCATGAGGTTCGAGACTAGTTCGAGACTAGCTTGACCAACATACTAAAACCCCGTCTCTACTAAAAATACAAAAATTAGCTGGGCATGCTGGCATGCGCCTGTAATTCCAGCTATTTGGGAGGCTGAGGCAGGAGAATCGTTCGAACCTGGGAGGCGGAGGTTGCAGTGAGCCGAGATCTCGCCGTTACACTCCAGCCTGGGCAACAAGAGCAAAACTCCGTCTAAAAATAATAATAATAATTAGATTTTTTTTCAAATTAGATTTCTTTTTGTGCTTTGTTATTGTATCTCAGCATCTGAAAAAAACTACTGAAGACTTGAGGTGAGAGAACTAAAGCTAACTAACATTTCTTTTCTTTTTTTTTTTTTTTTTTTAAAGAGATGGGGTTTCACCATGTTGGTCAGGATGGTCTCAACTTCCTGACCTTGTGATCCATCCGCCTCGGCCTCCTGAAGTGCCGGGATTATAGCCGTGAGCCACCATGTCCTGCCTTAAAATTTCTTTTTAAAGTTCTGATAATAAGAGAAATTTGTATGTTTGCTATAATTTTTAAAAATTTAATTACAGATAATCTGCAGAAGAAGGACGAATGTGAAGAAATGTTGAAACTATTTAAAGAGGTTGCTAGCTTACAGGTAAACATGTTGAGCCACGTTAAACATTATTACTTGACCAATCAGTGCATTTGTCCCTCAAAGTTTTCTGCACAGCGGCTCATGCCTGTAATCCCAGCACTTTGGGAAGCTGAGGCGGGCAGATCATGAGGTCAGGAGACCAAGCCTATCCTGGCTAACATGGTGAAAATACAAAAAATTAGCTGGGTGTGGTGGCACATGCCTGTAGTCTCAGCTATTCAGGAGGCTGAGGCATGAGAATCACTTGAACCTGGGGAGTGGAGGTTGCAGTGAGCCAAGATCACACCACCGCACTCCAGCCTGGGTGACAGAGTGAGAGTCCATCCCAAAAAGAAAGTTTTCTCCTCTAGCCTTAGGGACTGGCGATGCTGGTTTTCCTTCGCTCTCTCTCTTCATCTCTCTCACAGCAGTAGTATTGAGATATAATTTACTTACCATACAATTAATCCATTTAAAGTATACAATTCAATGATTTTTTGGTATGTTGCATTATTATTATTATTATTATTGTTTTTGATACAGAGGCTTGCTCTGTTGCCCATGTTGGAGTGCAGTGGCACCATCCTGGCTCACTGTAGCCTCTGCCCCCTGGGTTCAAGAGATTCTCGTGCCTCAGCCTTCCAAGTAGCTAAGACTCCAGGTCCATGCCACCATACCTAGCTAGTTTTTATATTTTTAGTAGAGACGGGGTTTGCCATGTTGGCCAGGCTGGTCTCATACTCCTGGCCTCAAGCAGTCCTCCCACCCCAGCCTCCCAAAGTGCTGGGATTACAGGCATGAGACACCATGCCCAGATGCATTATTAATTTTTAATTGTGGTAAAATACATATAACAAAATTTTTCATGTTAACAATTATTTTGTTTGTAAATCAGTGGTGTTATTTACATTTTCAGTGTTATGCAGCCATCACCTCTACTTTTTCTTTTTTTTAAAATATATATTTTATTGTACTTTAGGTTCTAGGGTACATGTGCAGAATATGCAGCATTGTTGCGTAGGTACATACATGGCAATGTGGTTTGCTGCCTCCATCCCATCTATACCTATATCTGGCATTTCTCCCCATGTTATCCCTCCCCAACTCCCTACCCACCACTGTCCCTCCTCTGGTCCTCCCCAACAGACCCCAGTGTGTATGTGTGATGCTCCCTTCCCTGTGTCCATGTGTTCTCATTGTTCAACACCTGCCTATGAGTGAGAACATGTAGTGTTTGATTTTCTGTTCTTGTGTCAGTTTGCTGAGAATGATGGTTTCCAGATTCATCCATATCCCTACAAAGGACACAAACTCATCATTGTTTATGGCTGCATAGTATTCCATGG